TTCCCGCTACTTGACTCGAATATTATTTCGTTACATCTCGTCTCGTTTCATTCCAATTCACAGAATTGCATCCCATTGAATTACAGTTTCATTAAATCATCTAAATTTTAAATTAGATCCCATTGAATTACCATTTCAATTAAATCATCTACATCTCACTTCGCTTCATTTTTCATTGAAAATATTTTTAAAATAATGGAATAATTGAAGATACATATTTAGAAACTCGATACTGGTAACAGAATAAAAATTCTTGCATAAATTGAAATATGTAACAAAATAGATTAAGATTTTAAAAACAAAGATTAAATATGAAGCATCCTTTGGAGGATACATAAGCTAAATGAAGACTTTTTTCTCTATTGTCGGGTTGGGTTAAACTGTTTATAAATACAAGGCTTTTTAAGGTAAGGCCACAACACATGAAATTTTAACTAATGAAAACCCGTCAAAAATATTAGGAGAATGCCCCCTGAAAACTGGTCCCGGTTTCATCTAAGATGAACTCGTTGGTCCATGAATGTAGACATCCTCTTTTTTTTACGTCAACGACATTAGAAAAAGAAATTTCAAATCAAGAAAACTCAAACTTGACGTCTGAATTTAGTTTGCGAAATCTGTTTGTGAAATTCTCCAATAAGATAAATATGAGAGGGAAATTACTGTGGAATGTTGCCAGGATAATCTTGTTATCGGGATTATCTTTCGGTATTTGAAGATATGTGGATCGATTTATTATCATTCATAGTTCAGTGGTAAATATACTGGACCAAGATGTACGTATGGCAAATTTGATTAGAATGTAGCAAGTAATGCTTTGTGTGAAATTGCTAACGTAGCTCTTAAGGGTTATTCGGCAACATTGGGGTTAGTATTTAATTAAGCAAATCTGAGGTTCTGATTAGTTTTGCTTAAATAATGTACTTGGGTGTTGTGGTAGCTACTATAGTTTTAGTTTCACCATTAAAGCTATAATAGTTTTTTTTTAATTTAATTAGATGTGAGCTTTCATTAGATTCCTTTCAATAATGTCTAGTTCGACTTAAGCTTTAGTTCTTCACTCAGTTTAGTCTGCTTAGTATTTCATTCACTTGCTCATATAAACAATCCACAAATCAAAGCGAAGGACTGATTAGTTATTATCCCAATTTTACTTCGAAATTGTTTTTGGACATTTAAAATGAAATTAAAGTATTAGATATTCCAAATTATTAATGAATTTCTCACGAAATATCTTCCCTATTAAATTTCTGGTTACCTCTTTCGAATTACTATGTCTTTGTTTCAGATCGCATGATTTGTGGATGCGTTTTGGGTTTCGTCACAGCAACGATTCTGTTCGTCTGTTTGCCTTTGTGTAATTCGAAATTAAATAAACTCTCGTGTACATGTAACCCTAATCCCATTTGTCCCGAGTGCGGGGAAATATTTTAAGGAGCCTCTCAATTTTGTAAACCAAAACTTTCTAGTTCTGTTGCTCTTATAATGTCTTGCGTGAGTGTTACCTCAATTTTGACTATATTCGGTTTGCTATTAGTCGTCCCATTTATTTCTGAAAAATATATTCGTCCCATGCTACAAGAAGAAATGGAGGATTGCTAATATTTTTTTAGCATACTAGTTAAATTTATATATCTTTTGGAAAAAATATACGTAACCTTAATGTCTTAGTTAATATTAATAAATTTCCGAAATTTTTTGTAACGGCCTTAGTAAGTGCTAAATAAATAGTTTGTAACCTTATGATCTATGCGAAATAATTCCTCTTCATGACGGGCAATCGTTGTAAAAAGTAAATTGTTACAAGCAGTCTGTGTATTATTTAAATATTCAATACCTGATAATATTTTCATTTCTTTATTTCGTGTCATAAAACGTTTATTAAGTCTTTCGATTAATTTTTATTTTGAAAGTTGTTTTATTAATAAATTTTAATCCTTCTGGTCATCAAGTATGGATTAGTGAAGCAATCTTCTTAAGGCCATAAATTTTAAAGCTTAAAATTCTCGAAAGTTATGAACGATAACTCTACATCTGATTTATAAAATCAATACTTATAGTGTATTTGTTTGTCCCTCGATGCATCTTTTGAAGTGAATGCTAGTAGAATGCTAACAGTAATTTGGAAAGAAAGCACTCTTATTACTGTCAACTTTGATGCGTCAGATGTTTCAATAAATAATTTCCTACAGCCTACACGCATTCATTCATATAAAGATAGACGAGACGAAATTAGACACGCGAAGCCGGGTCTGTCCTGTAGTTTCTTAATTCTAATCATGTGAACCTATTCCTCAAAATACACTCGAGTAGTAAAATGATATCATCAATTGCATTAATAAGTTTTGAATGATGACGTTGTTAATTAGCGATTACGACAATTTTTACTTTCTCATAAATTCGTTTTTGAGAATCTTTGGAATGACTTTGAAATTACTATGAACTGTCCAATGCAAACAAACAGACAATTGCAAACAAACAAACACGTATTAATTTAAAACGTATATTGTAATAATTGTTGGAAATCCTATAATCTTTAGTTGATTTAGTTAGTAATGGATTCACAGTAAAGGAGATTTTTTTGTAAGAATTGAATTCTGTTTTTGTTTGGCGAACAAAGGGCAGTCGGTACCTAAATATATAATGCTGTATGCATCTCACACCGATATACCATACACGTTAGAATACGCGTATGTATAAACCATGAAACATCGTAGTCAAAATACGACGATTTTGTTTGATTGAAGTCTAGGGGACATTGGAATTTTCAAAACCCAAAGGCAGTTGCAGCAAATTGACGTTCTAATCTTGGGTCTCTAAATTTTAGGGTCTTATCTCGAAATTTATAATTACTAAAGCATTAATGTTCCTAAATATTCTATTGTTTCAGATAAATAATTCGTATCGCTGACCACCTTGTAATTCTGATTTAAATGAAACTAATTAAACTAAACTGGCACATGAATCTTGAAGAAATCGAACAATACCTGCGTTGTGTACAATTAGAAGAGATTGACTTCAAGAAAGCTCAAACGCGAAAAATCAAATACACCGATTTAATTCCAATAGAAATTAGATACAAAACTTTAGAGTATTAGCAATTGAGAGTTCGTTTGAAATCTATGTATTAAGTTTTTGTCGAGACCTTTTGTCTTTCGAATCTTTGTGGTTATTCTAGATTTTTTTTGGGTTTATTTTTATAATGATTTGTATGAGCATAGCGACTGCTTTGACGGCGGCGGGCCTCATCATTCTGGGACCGATGGCGTGCGATAAATTCTTGCACTGCTTCATGAAGTCGTCCAAGAAATAATGTAAATTTCGTAGGCGAAGCGACGATCGTGTCGCACCATTTTAATTAAATACAACTGGGAAATGTAGACTGTTTTTTTCAAAAAAGTGAAACCTCTTTAGAATAGTTGTGATTTGAAACTCGATGAAACGAAAAAATAAGTCCATAGAGACACAAACACATAAATGTATAAGGTTCAGCCGGCGAGAGAATGAGATAGAACACACTGGTGGTAGGACCACTTGTGAGTCCGCGTGGGTAGGTACCACCGCCCTGCCTATTTCTGTCGTGAAGCAGTAATGCGTTTCGGTTTGAAGGGCGGGGCAGCCGTTGTAACTATACTTGAGACCTTAGAACTTGTATCTCAAGGTGGGTGGCGCATTTACGTTTTAGATGTCTATGGGGTCCAATAACCACTTAACACCAGGTGGGCTGTGAGCTCGTCCATCCATCTAAGCAATAAATAAAACCATTAGACGTTCTCGGTCTCCTCTTTGTGCGACTCTTCGTAGCATCCCCACTATCGTCTACTTAACATTGTCCATATGTATGCTCCTGTGTAGTGGGATAGTCAGTATATCTATATCTTACTAGAGTCCCGCAGTAGTCGAAATTCGACTATAATTAATTGGAATTGTAAGTTTGTGCACTATTATGATTATATTTTATACTTCTATAATCACAAATTTCGCCAAGACTACACTATAAAAAATATTAACAAAGACAAACAATATTCAATCTATTCTCAATCTGACAACAAACGTTACGAACAACAGTTTAACAATAAATAGTATGCATGCGTGCGTGCGTCAAATACATGGTATGTAGTGTGTGTAATGTTTTCTTTATTGATTTAATGTATCTTTTATGCATTATTTAAAAAAATTATTAGCGTTGTGTACTTCTTCTCTATATTCTCTATAAGTGTGGAAAATTTCATACTCCTCCGTCCGCGGAATTTTCGTAAAAAGGGATACAAAGTTTTTGTTTCACGTATTAAAATATAGATAAGTTTCACGTCTACCGTGTGTGACTTCATACACACACACACATTTTTTTTTTGGATTTGTGCAGTGATAATAAAAACGCTCTTTCTTTGTGATTAGGAAACATTTTATTTTAAACGACTAAAACATACACCGTAATATCACTCGACTCGTTTCGTTATGAACTAAAGCCGTTTTGCGACTCCCTAAACATAAGTGACCTTGTTTATTAAGCAAACGTCAAGTGAGCTTGTTTAGTTTGGAAGTCGCAAAACGCGCGTGGAGAGTTAATTAGAAAAAAAAAAATTGAGCAAACACGCGACTCGTATTTTAATAAATAAGTTAACAAGGTATGCTATGACACTGTGGGGGGACCGCGGGGCGGGGGCTACGTGCCGCCCCCCCAGCGTCGCCCCCCAACCGTCCCCNACCTTGTTTATTAAGCAAACGTCAAGTGAGCTTGTTTAGTTTGGAAGTCGCAAAACGCGCGTGGAGAGTTAATTAGAAAAAAAAAAATTGAGCAAACACGCGACTCGTATTTTAATAAATAAGTTAACAAGGTATGCTATGACACTGTGGGGGGACCGCGGGGCGGGGGCTACGTGCCGCCCCCCCAGCGTCGCCCCCCAACCGTCCCCCCGGCGATCCCCCCGAGCACGGCCCTGTCCAGACTCTCTATGGCCGCTTTTTGTGTCGCCTCCCCGACAAGTCTGAAGGTCGTCGGTGTGACGATCAGTAACTCCTCGTGTTTAGCGGCGGTGGGCTCCTTCGTGTACTTTTCAGCGCTGGACCGGTAGACCCTTTTGACTGGAGGTGTCTCTTGAACTCTCGCATCGGCCTCTAACTGGTCCGCCAGTGTCTCCCGCCGGACCGGACTCAGGTTTTCGATCGGCTGAATCTCCTGTTGGATTACTTCCACGGCGGGCGTGATACTAACGGCGGGCGCTCTAGTGCTTGTAGTGGAATTACTAAATCTCAAGGTCATTCTCCTTCTGTGTTTCTTGTCTCTGTCGGTTTCTGCGGAGAACGGTCTCGGCTCTTGGCTTGAATCGGCGACCGGTTGGCTGTGGGGGTGCGTGGAGTTTTGACCAGAGCGGGTTGTGTTTCCGAGCTGCCTGTCTCCCCTGTAGACGGGGGCAGGGGGAGTGGCGCGGTTGCTCCTCTCGTCTATTAAAGGCCGGGGGGTGATGATGTGAAGGCCATCGGAGCTGGTTTCAGTTTGTGCGGTTTTAGTGGTGTCTTGATTTTCGAGGATTGAAATTGCTTCTTTAATTCCGTCCACGTCCTCAGGGTTTGGTGAGCGACCTGGTAAAGAAGGTAAGCAGCGTGTGACATTTATTTTCGGTAGGATTAGTTGTCCTTTTACTAAGGATATTTTAAGAGCCGGTATTTGGTGCGTCTAACTGCCGGATCGAGGTCACAGGTTCATTTCCTACATCGGCCTAATATTCATGTATCATGACTCACATACCTCCCGGCTCTCATTGTATAAGGAAATTTAGTTTCAGGTCAAATAACCGTTTGTGATTTGTGGTTTATTTAATTATGATTTGTTAAAAATCTTCATAAATACCCTATTAACGATATTAAAATCGATTAGATGGATGATATTCTTTAATACAGAAATGACTTTTTACAAATAACTTTGTATTGTATTGGCGATACTGACCATCGTCTTGCATGTTGTTGTCCTTCTTGTATGAAGAGAAGAAGGTCAGGGCCTTCATGAGCTGATAGCTCTTGGACACTGGAATGTTGGTGTCGTACAACTTCCTGGTGTTCTTGCAGTCGACGTAGAACCACCAGTTGCACTTGAGGATGGTCTGGTCGAAGAGCGTGGACTCGGGGCAGAGGAAGGACTTCATGACGAGCCCATCGTCTGTCAGGGCGCAGACGTGGAACACCTGGTCAAGGCACCAGACAGACATTACAGTACAGACATGCTCACTGCATATTGGTCAAGGATCATAAAAATCAAACCAGCAAAATGATGATTTGCGTAATCACTGGTGGTAGGACGTTGTGTGGGTCCGCACAGGTAGGTACCACCACCCTGCCTATTTCTGCCGTGAAGTAGTAATGCGTTTCGGTTTGAAGGGTAAGGCAGCCGTTGTAACTTTACTGATAAACTCCACCCAGAGACACAGCGGATGAGAGGATCCGGCGAGAAACTCAGTGGGTCGCGTTTCCGATCCGGTGGTAGATTCTGCGAAGCACTGCTCTTGCTAGGGTTCGTGTTAGGGACGTCGTCAGGTTTGAGCCCCGTGAACTCACCTACTAGTTAAGGCGACGCTGATATAGCCTCTCAAGGCTTAGGTAGGGAAAAAAAAGATAAACTCTAAGTATAATAATTAAAAAAATATCATAAAATAAACATCCCATAAGGAACTTCGTTCCAAAAACAGATATAATATATCTTACGTACCATACATCCAAGACTCTCATCGCCGTAGAGGCCGGGGAAGTACTTCTGGTCGCCGCAGTGGAAGCTGGTGTCGGGGAGGTCGACCTTCGACTGGAAATGATCGTCGAAGTTCTTCTCGTATCCGACGGGGTAGTACTCGCGGGGAGCGTTCATGACCTTACCACTTGTCGGCTGTCTGGTACTGGAACGGTTACGAGTAGGTTAGGAAGCTGGGAGGATCATTCTAATGGTATTCCTAAAGTCAACGTAAAGTTACGTCAATCATTTTGGTTTCGTTACAAAGCCCTCTGAAGTTTTTTGGTGTATTATGGTACAAAGGGTTTTCGACTTTTCAAAGAATGGTGATTGGTTCATCGCAAAAAGTGGCAGGATGGCCTTATATCTCAAGGTGGGTGGCGAATTTTTTATTTATTGTTTTAGTGGGTGGACGACCCACCTAGTGTTGCGTGGCTACCGGAACCCCTAGACATCTACAAAGTCAATGCCGCCACCCACCTTGAGACATGAGTTGTAAGGTCTCACTTTTAACAGTGCAACGGCTGCCCCGCCCTTCAAACCGAAACGCATTACTGCTTCACGGCAATAGACAAGACCGTGGTACCTACCCGTGCGGAGTCACGAGAGGTTCTACCACCAGTAATAAGTACTCTTCAAGGAATGGTTGTTTCATCGCAAAAAGTGGCAGGGTGATATGAGCCTGCTAAATGTAGCAAAAGCTCTTATTTAGATCACTCCCTTGTAAGTTCACCAGCAACCAATCGAGTATATTAAATAACAGAACGGTATTGAGGTGAAAATAGGAAATTAATATATTATCACTACGTAATAAAAGGATAGAAGACGCGTCGTGGCTAAGCGTCCCACGAGGTGGCCTAAAGAACTGCTGAAGATTGTTGAGAATCATGGTCATTATGGTGAACCTTAGGAGCCTAAACAGTAACCTAGAGAAAGCTGCCATGTACATAAAAATGAAAAGCAACCGTATTACCTTTGTGGCTTCTGTGGTAACGCCGCCGTCAAAATCTCTGGTTCCGGCTGAAACACGACCGGTGGCTGTGTGGTGGTGGTAGTGGAACTGGTGGTGGATGGCGCCGGCAGGTGCGCGTACTTGTTCAGGAGCTGCTGCTGCCGCAGGGCTATGGCGGCCTCCACCGCTTCCATTGAAATGTTCCCGACTTTGGCTATCTCCGCTATCTTGGCGTTGATGTCTTCTTTGTTAAACTTGAGGACCGTGTCGTCCCCGTAGCCGGTGATGGTGTTGTAGTCGTCAACTTTTTTCGTGTTATAAACGTAGCTGCTCGCGATATTGTGGACATGGTGGGGAACCGGGTCTACAAAGTTAGAAACAGGATTGGTTTTGTGGACAGATTGCGCGTGTGTGGCCGGTGATGGTATTATCGGCAGTGCTTGTGTAGGTGCGGGCATCGGAACGAATGGGTTAATAGATTTTAGTGTGGAGACGCCGTGGAATGGATCTAGCATGACTGGGGTGGGTTTGATTTTGACTACCGGAGCGTACTGCACGGCGGTCATTTGTGAGACCATTTTTGATATTTGATTGTGCGACTGTGGGTAAATCTCACTTTGGTAAGCTAATCCTGGGCCTTTGGACTCGGGGATTTGCAGGGGCGCGTAGTTCTTTCTCGTCGATGAAGTGATGGGAAGTACTTTGAGCGTGTCTTCTTTGGGTGGCAATGGCCTGAATGGTGGGACTCCCATGGGCATCGGTTTGGCCATAGTTTGTGTTGGTACATTGGTTGGTGTTTCGACTGCCGGATTAGGAACAACGATCGGCTGCATAGTGGATACTCTGCGATGGAGGCTGGTCAGTTTGTCCATCGCAGCCTGGTCGGGTCTCGTGAGAGGCGGGGCCACGGGCCGCATCATGATGCGGTTTTGTTTGGCTCGTTTCTGGAATTAAATTAACAAGATTCCATTGTAATATCACAATTTTGTGTAAACAGATTTGATGCCTACTTCTGTTTATACAAGTAAGCTTATAGATGCCTATTCAGATATAGCACGACCCATCAAGACAGACCTTACAGTCGAAGCTTGTGTAATTTGAATTACTACATAGTCATAAAATATTTACTGCCCATCACTTTTAACAATTTCATTCTACAGTCATAGAGATGTCATACAAGTGTGTTTTATGTGAGGTCTAAATCAAGTAACTTGTTTATGAATAGCGTCGGTAATAATTCCAACAGTCGCCGCATTTTACGTAACGTTTATTGAGACAAACAAAGAAGAATGTACTTTTGTTTTACGACTTCTACAAATACATTAATTTATTTATTACAAGGAGAACCAACAGCCAATTCAACATTTTTACTGGTGGTAGGACCTCTTGTGAGTCCGCGCGGGTAGGTACCACCACCCTGCCTATATCTGCCGTGAAGCAGTAATGCGTTTCGGTTTGAAGGGTAGGGCAGCCGTTGTAACTATAGTTGAGACCTTAGAACTTATATCTCAAGGTGGGTAGCGCATTTGCGTTGTAGATGTCTATGGGCTCCAGTAACCATTTAACACCAGGTGGACTGTGAGCTCGTCCACCCATCTAAGCAATAAAAAAAAACATAGTCTATATGTCTATAAAGTATATATCTATATATATAAAAATGAATTGCTGTTCGTTAGTCTCGCTAAAACTCGAGAACGGCTGGATCGATTTGACTAATTTTGGTCTTGAATTATTTGTGGAAGTCCAGAGAAGGTTCAAAAGGGTAGAAGGTTCAAAAATTAAGAAAATGCTTGGAATTAAATAAAAATAACAATTTTGTTTTCCCTTTGATGTGTCCCCCGTCGGACGGATTTCTTTTGATTGTTTTAAGTTTATTTTAAACAAAAGTTTAGGCCTTTCATTTATTGATTGAGGCACTATGAGGTCTGCCGGGTCAGCTAGTATAATAATAGAATATAACTAGCGAACCCGACAAACGCTGTTCTGTGAATACATACACAAAAATTCATTCAAGTCGATCCAGCTATTTAGGAAGAGTTCAGTGACATACACACGTACAGTAGAATTATATAGTATAAATAAATAAATAAATAAATATTTACTAACAATCACACCACGTTAACTGGTCCCGTGATAAGTTTGTAAAGAACTTGTGTTACAGGTACCAGATAACGGAAATAAATGTAAGATTTTTATTATACACATACATATATTTTAATATACATCCATTACCCTGGAAAAGACATTTATATTTATCATACAAATATCTTCCCTTGGCGGGATTCGAACCCGCGACCCTCTTGTGTAGTGACCATGTCACTTACCACTACACCAGAGGGCCGTAGTATATATATAAAGATATATTATATAGTTTGAAAACACAATGTTGAATGAATATAATCATTCTAGGTATTTTATTGCGGTGGTAGATGCTGTGGAAATAAAAACATCCAGCAAAACGATTTCTCAAAGTGCTAACAAAAAAACGCAAGTCTACTCGATTGGCGTTGGCTTACCAACAAACAACTGCCGAGTTTAAAACCAACAGATCTGACTAAAATTTTATATTACCTAAATGTGATCCACAAATACGCTGAGCTCCCGGTGAAATAAAAGTGTTAAATTACCTCTTGCTTAGCGTTCAGACGGGAAGTGTCGGCTACTAAATTAGGAGGAGCTCCATTCTTGACGTTGACCGATCTCCTCCTGCTCGGATCCAAGTTGGTGAGGGATTGTTCGAAACCCAACTCATCTCCGAGGCTGAACCCTGAAATGTTAATTCGAACATCAAATTACTTAATGTCTCAGAAGAGGAAAAGAAAATTTAGCTAAGAAACATAAATAGAGCAGAGAAAAAGTTAACTTAATGTTAATTAGATTTCTTTTAAATTTTATACTAAAAAATATCTTAATATTTTGTACGTGGCATATATTATAATATTATCATATAGTTTTTTGTTAAGCAATCAAAAAAGAAATAAAAAAATAATTCGTCTTATTTAGGTACAAAATAATTAGGTTTTCTTATTCTAAAATTCTAATAATCTAATTCAGAAACATAAAATGTTAACTAGTTTTAGTTATGATACGTATAAGTTGATACCACGGCTTTGCTTATTTCTGTTAGCTGCTGAATAGCGAGACAGTAAGCTCCGACATTTATCAACTTCGACAATTGACTATCGCTTAGCACCACATGAGACAATTCCTTGATGAGAATTTTTTTTTTTTGTTGCCTAGATTTGTGTACGAGCTTACAGCCCACCTGGTGTTAAGTGGTTACTGGAACCCATAGACATCTACAACGTAAATGCGCCACACACCTTGAGATATAAGTTCAAAGGTCTCAGTATAGTTACAACGGCTACCCCACTCTTCAAACCGAAACGCATTACTACTTTACAGAAATCATCCGTCTAATACAACATTCCGAAACGATTGATCATTGAGGTTACACGCGAACCACTAATTTATATCAAATTAACATTATATTTTGTTTGCAATTTTATCCAACCAAATTAAATGTTAGCATTTGTTATTTTTAGATCTGGTGTATATGCTATAGGCATAATACCATCCACATACGATGTATTGTGACTTGTTATTTAAAAGAGTTACTTTAAAAGCTATTATCGCATAACCTACCTGCTGTTAAGACCGGAACCTATAAACGTCACGAATTGAATACCGTCACACATTTTGTAATAAATACTGAACTGTCAGTTGCATTACTGCAACTGAGAATCACTAAGTTATTCTAACCCCAAAATTCTTAATCAAGTCAACATGTGTATGTTTTTAAATAACAATAATCGCAGCTTTTTTTTACCTAAGCTGATAGCCTTGAGAGGCTATTTCAGCGTAACCTTAACTAGTAGGTGAGCTCACGAGGCTCAAACATGACGACGGTGCTAACACAAACCCTAGCAAGAGCCGTGCTTCGCAGAATCTAGCACCGGATCGGAAACGCAACCCACTGAGAAGATCCGGCGAGAAACTCAGTGGGCTGTGTCTGTGGGGGTCACAGCAAAGCGTGGACTGGCCTAGGGCTAGCGTCAATCTTCTGAATATTTCCCGATTAGATTGACCATTAACATGAAGATTAATTGCGAATAAAACATTAGCACTATAATCCAAGGTCAGTAACAGTATCGCGGTGAAAGTACCGTTTAACCGATGAACAGCGAACTTGTTCTTATTTGTGCAATTCGAGAGGTGAAATGCAGTTGTGTTATGTAGGACGATGCTCTTACCTACTTGATGAATAAATAAGCTATATTCGTTGTGGATTAAAGAACAATATCGTCTCGGTACTGAAATATCGCAGACAGATACCAATGTGTTTAATTTTAAGAACATGTTTAACACATTTTCATTAATGATTCTCACATGAAAGAAGAAGATAGTGTAATTAGAATCAAACCCAGAAAATGGATGATTTGTGTAACCATTAGTTAGACGTAAAGTCGCGCCCAATTGGTGGATACTTATAAATATCCTGTCCATTTCTTCCGTGAAATAATCAAGTTATCTGTTTCGAAGGGTTGGGACAATACAAATAATTCTTCGACCTCATGTCTCAAGGTGGGTTGCAGCATTCACCTTAATATGAGTTTGGACTCTAGTAATCACATATTAACATATAAACCGTATACTTGTCCGACAATCTAATACAATGAAAAGAATGAAGCATTTAGTCTGTCCTATAAATAATACTCAGCTTAGTGTTTGTTTGTGACATTTCGAAGTCGGAATGCCCTTTAAGCATCTTGAAAACATTTAAGCTCTTACCTAAGCTAGCGTGCGCTTTGATCCCTCCTAAGTTCCGTACCCTGAAGAGGCCGGATTTCTTGAAAGCGCAGTTTATTTTGAAACCGAAGTCTGATTCTAACACGCAAGTTGGCTGAACGATTTCTGAAATGAAAATAAAATAAATTATTAGATTATTTATTATAATTAAGACTATTTAAAAATATTTCACCTATTTCACCATTTTTGCAAATGTGTCGCTATTCTGTCAGTGAGTTACATTTGTTTGTTAAAAAAAAGGCGGTTTCGTGAGTATTGTAAAATGATTTTTGGAATACACTATATTTTTAAGTAATACGAAAAGCTGAATATATTTTGAAGATATACTGACATTACATATGTATTTAATATTTTTAATTTTCTGCGTGAAAATGCTGCCAGCCTTCTGGGAACGCTGCCAACTGGCGGTGAGCTAACACAGATTTTCTATTTATAAGTAGCTTAGTAATAGTTAAGTTTACGTTTTTCTTCATTTTTGTAGTTTTCGATTGGATGAGCTCACGCCTCATCTGATCTTATATGGTAACCAAACACTATTAATATTAAAAAGATTTTACAAATATTAACATATTTTATTTTGATTGATCGAACAATAAGAGAGAACAAAATATTTTTGCATACCGAACAACAATCAGAGCGTGAACATTGAAAATACAAAGATTGCAACAATATTGTAGACAATAATTTGGATTTTCCTTTCATAGCGTGACGCGTTCAGGATATAAGCTTATACGGACGTGACCTAGATTTCACTGCGTCCTAATCATCATTACAGGTCGTGGACTTTAGAAAGGCCTTCAAAGTCAGATAACAGATTGTTGAATTGTTAGTCAGCTAACGAAAAAACTACAACAGGACTTTTATCAATCGTTTGTCGACATTTGTGATGACAACTATATCACCTTCGATCTGAAAAGTAATTTTAACTTAAGCTTTAGTAAAATTTATATTCTGGATGAGATAGCCGTTTTACAATTTCATTTAAATTTCGTCTTTTAGAATTATATTTATAACTTGATTTCTAATATGTATGGATAAAAAAGATCTAATCTACCAATCACGTAAGCCTACCGCTTAATACTCTCCACAAGCCTCTTTTAAAAAAGGACATGTCATAGCGCTCGGGAAACACCGTGGAGGGGAGCTCATTCCAGAGCAGGATGACACGTGGCAAAAAAGACCTCTGGAAGCGCACTGTCGATGAACCGCTGCGTTTCAGATAATATGGATGAACTCTGCTCCGGTGGCGGGACGTGCGATGATAAAAAGGAGATGAGGGGATCATCTCAAGCAATTCTTCAGAGCACTCCCCGATCTTATTACACGAAAATATTAAATAAACTCAATTATACTATGAACTAATATTTGAATGATACTGAAATCTAGAACATTCTTGTTTCGTCAAACTATACTAGACTGGGTCAGCGTTATGCTATGATCCATTCGTATTGTTTTCTTTACGACCGGTTATTTAAGTAAAGGACCCGTTTACCGTTAAGTAACTTATGCAAGCAACAACTTGAAAAAAAAAACGGTATGTTGCAAATCAATGTTTATTGTCGTGTTGGCTCACATAGCTTGAATAGTAGCTACACTTTTTTTAATTTATGCTTCTAAATGATTTATTAACGCATCTAGTTTGGCTGGCGTGTAAACCTGATAAGCTACGTATGGTTTTTAGTGAATCTTATATATAAAATTCTCATGTCACAATGTTAGTTACCATACTTTTCTGAAACGGATAGACCGATTTTTATTAAATTTTATGTGCATGTTCAGTAGGTCTGAGAATCGGCTACTATCTATTTTTCATACCCCTAAGTAATAAGGGTTGTCCACCCCTAACATTTATTTTTTATTTTTTGGACAATTTTTTTTGTTATAATGAGGCATTATGTGGTTGAATGAGGTTTTGTTATTTTTATATTCCCTCATCGTTCACAGCGCTACGTGCCTCTTTCACTCATTTACCACATCCTTACACACTTACAATAAGTTAGTTTTTTTTTCTATACTAGAAATTCCCTAAAAATCTTATATATGGCAAAACAACGTTTGCCGGGTCAGCTAGTTATTAATATAATTCTGTAGGTTCGTTATTCGGTAGGCAGCGGCTTGGCTCGATCGCTGGGATTGTTGAAGTCCATGGGCGACGGTAACTATACTTGAGACCTTAGAACTTATATCTCAAGGTGGGTGGCGCATTTACGTCGTGGATGTCTATGGGCTCCAGTAACCACTTAACATCAGGTGGGCTGTGAGCTCGTCCACATACCTAAGTAATAAAAATAAAAAAAAAACCACTCACCATCAGGTGGGCCGTTTACTCATCTGCCTACAAGGGCAATTAAAAAAGTAGTATTTATGTACTGACCTCCAATAAATTTAGCTGTTTAATTCAGCCGATAATAAAATAATGATTACATCGATATTCTTACAAATAATACGCAAAATTCAAATTAGAAACGACCATGGCCAACAAAACAGCAATCAGGTGAAATACTATTGACCTACACTCGGCTAAAAATCAATTAAAATACTTTTACTATTGTTTATCAATGGGTCTTCAATCTCGACATACTTATAATGTTTTTGAAGCCTCTGACACTTGACCGATCCAACAACAATATTAAAAAAATGATTACGTTATTTAACTAACATTCTCCTGTCAGTTAGCAAACCGTGTACAAGATGAGAAAAAGTTTAAATCGAAGGTCAATAAAGCAACGTATGTTCGGTTATTGAAAAAAAAATCCAAATGTAATCATTAATAGAGTCTGAAAGAAGAATTGCGCAAGATTAAATATTCTGTAATATCATGATCCTGTTTTGCCACATAATATAGAAGTGCACATCTTTTCGTAAGATCTTAAACGATGATACTACTTTTATCGCGATAGATCTTGGCCTACTTTACTTTATTATATACCTACTATCAGTAAAATAGTAGTAATAATACATTACCTACGTGTTGTGCCAACCCTAATTTCATAAAGTGAAAAGAAACTATTATTATTGTTTAAAAATAATGAACGAAAAAGAATTCTATTTTAAAGAATAAAAAAATTCGTAGTTTTAAGTGAGCACTGAAAAAAATGAAAATCCGTGAAGATTACACTAGAAAATTCAAAGCAATGAGTACTAAACTGCCATATCCACTTTGAGACTTAAGATCCAGGTCTAATAGTTTTTGTTCAGAAAATTTAATATTTGGTAATCGAAAAAATATCTCGTTGGGACAAAACAGGTATGTTTATGAATCAGGGCTTGTTAGCAATTGTCTCAGGTTGAGGCCGTGAGCTCACCTATCAGTCCGCACGAAGTTGGAATTGTCCCTTAGGCTACCAACGATTAGGTAGGGGAAAAAGTTATGAACTAGTAGTTCTGTGGAATGCCGAAGATGATTATAATGCGTGAAAACTATTCTTATTAATCGAAGAAATTCAAATAAGAAAGATTAGGACGATAAAAGTTTTTTTTTTCCTACCTATGCTGATAGCCTTAAGAGCCTATTTCAGCTTCACCATAACGTGTAGGGCCTCAAACCGGAGTGTTTCTAACACTGGCCATAGCAAGAGCAGTGCTTTGCAGAATCTACCACCGGGTCGGAAACGCGACCCACTGAGAAGAACCGGCGAGAAACTCAGTGGGCTGTGTCTGTAGGCTAATTCGCTCGTCAAGCCCTTCGTCGCAAGCGACGGGCTTGACGAGGATGGTAACCGGTGCTTGTGGTACCTAAAGGCACCGTCAATGGATCGGGAGGATCCGTATTGACGTGTTTTGAAATAGACTCTTAGGCTACCAACGATTAGGTAGGCAAAAAAAGTTATGAATTAGTAATGCTGTGGAAAGCCGTATGCTGTGGTATGCCGAAGATGATTATAAAGCGTGAAAGCTATTCTTATTAATTTAAGAAATTCCAATAATAAATATTACGACGATAAAAGGTGTCGTGCTCTGTAATTTATAGTCCGTTACTTTCACTGGACAAAGCATTCGGTCTTCGTACGGATGACGTCAAAAACATCTAGTTTGCAGGGTTACCATGTTTAAAAAAAGTACGAAACGCTTAGAGTTATTAGAATTTTATCAAAAAAATTCACGGCTTCAGAAATTGATAGCGTTCCACGTGCAATGAATCTGGGCAAGGACTCTCTTCTTTTTTATAAGCAATAGACATATAGATGAGACAAAAACATTCAGACTCCTAATAATAAACAGAACAATAATATATATTTTAAATATCTCTAAAAAGATCTTCTTCTTCTTCTTCGGTCTTCTTATTCTTTTTTGCCTTTCGCGGTTGAGACGATGGGCCCTTGGGGCCCTGAAGCAAAAAATTTTTTAACAGAAATCTCCAAACGCTTGAAGGAGGTTACACATGATGCTAAGGCTGGCTGGTACTTTGCACAGAGAGTGAGTCTGGCTGTCCAACGAGGCAACGTAGCCAGTATCTTGGGGACTGTGCCTCCTTCAAGCGCGTTGGAAGATCTGTTCTACATTTAAAAAANAAAAAAAAAAAAAAAAAAAAAAAAAAAAAAAAAAAAAAAAAAAAAAAAAAAAACTAAAAAGATACTAATGTCGACTTGAAATTATATCTGTATCACATGGCCATAACTACAGTAATTTCCTTGAAACTTGTAATTTATTACAGTTTACGTGAACACCCCGATGCACATAGCATATTTTAGCATACTAATCTCTGTTTATTTTGCTCTTTACATTTTTTAGTAGTTTCATCATTACTTTATCAATCTTTTGCCCACTGAGTTTCTCGCCGGATCTTCTCAGTGGGTCGCGTTTCCGATCCGGTGGTAGATTCTGCGAAGCACTGCTCTTGCTAGGGCCAGCGTTAGCAACACTCCGGTTTGAGCCCCGTGAGCTCACCAAAGCTGAAATAACCTCTCAAGGCTATCAGCATAGGTCGGGAAAAAAAATCAATCTGAATAATGTGACATAGACGAAATGTCTTATGCATGCAGTGAAGTATTTGAATGAATATACTAAAGAGTAAAGTGTAACAGTAAAGGTTTTGTGCAGCAATGGCCCAAAAGGATTTGTTGAGTATATCATCCACGAAACTGTACAGAGTCCTGTGAGAGACGAGATATACTGGAGTTGTTGTGGCCTGCAACCTCTTTGACAGGACATAAGACCTACAATGACTAGACATAGACTAAGACAGAGACTTGACAAGGTTTCGAAATGAAATAAAAGAAAGAAATGGAACGAGGGCGGACGTGACTAGCGGCAGGCATTAACCCTTTGACTGCGAGGTAGGTCACCGGTGCCCTATGCAGCGCACTGAAGTAATTACGTCGATTTCTGTTACGAAGCGCCCGAATAGACAAATTCTCAGTGTCTTCAGATTTAACTTTCCCGGAGTCTACTAGATATTACGGTGTCTTAGTAAGATCTTTTATTTTTATTTTTTATTGCTTGGATGGGTGGACGAGCTCACAGCCCACCTGGTATTAACTGATTACTGGAGCCCATAGACATCTACAAC